TAAGAAAGAACCTGATTGATTTAAATCAGGGGTCAGCAAACTACATACAGCCCACAGGCCCAATCTGGTTCACTGCCGGTTTTTCATACCGCTGTGTGAGCTAAAAAAATGGTTTGTCCATTTTTAAATGGTTGGGAGGAAAAGCAAAAGAATAATTTTGTGACATGTAAAAACTACATGAAATTCAAATTGCAGTGCCCATAAATGAAGTGTTATTGGAACACAGGCATGCTAAGTTGTTTACCTGTTGTTCATGGCTGCTTTTGCACTATAGCAGCGTTGAATAGTTGTGACCGATGCCGTATGGCCCTCAAAGCCTAAAATATGTGGTCTCTGGTCCTTTAAGAAAATCCATGCTGACCACGGATTTAGTGAAGCCATGAGAGGGACTGTGGGGCAAACAGAACAGGAGAGAAGCACTTTGGAGCAGCCACAGCATAGTGGGGAACTGGTTCTGAGGAGCAGCAACACAAGATGTCATGTGAAATCCAGAGCTCCTTCTCAGTCCTCTAGACCTGTTGGCAGCGTTTGACACAGCTGACCCGTCTCCTTATAACAGTTTTCCTCATTTGGCTTCAAGGACACCACTCTCCTGGTTTCCCTCCTCCATTATCTGGCCTTTATTCCTCCACCTCTGCTGCTGGTTCCCCTTCATCTCTGAGACAAATGCTTAGAACGACATTGGTGTGTCCCAGGGCTCAGCAGTTACACCTCTTCCCTTTTTTGTCCTCACTCACTCCTAGGTGTAGGGTGTTCCAGGGATTTGGGGACGGATCAAAGAAAAAGACATGACCATGAGGTCGCATTAGCACACACATGCTTTATTGGGTGACATGATGCTCTCACAAGTTGTGGGGGGGGGGTCCCTCACAGCAGGAATCTGTCCAGAAGCTGCACCATGAGGGTTGCTACTCAGAAGGGGAGGAGGGCAAGGGAACTCTCAGGGAGGGGGCCGTGTGTCTGAGTAATAGCACTTGGCAGCGTGGCAGGGAGTTGCTGGGTCTGAGAGCTCTACGAGCCAGGAGTCATAACTTAGAAGGCTTGGGGTCTTACAGCCATAAATTTCTACCTTACCAATGGCCAGCAGATGATGGGTTTAGTTTGGCAAAGGTATGCAAAGCAGGCAGGCCCTAGATGTCTAAAACTTTGCTTATTTGGGCTATGTTTAAAATAAATAGATGTGTAAAATTTTAAGTTTGGTGCTGGCAGGCTTTTAAGCTAACAGCTCTCAGCCTACAGTGAAGAAATAAACCACCTAGGGACCAATGCACAGAGGCCATCTTTGGCTCATTTATATATCACTAGGTGATCTAACCAGTCTTAAGGCTTTAAATACCTCTATGATGATGACTCCCACACTGTCTTTAGCACAGACCTTTTCCTTGAGCTCCAGGTCCATATACTCAACACTTCCACTTGCTGACTAGTCACATCTCAAACTTAACATATCCCAACCTGAGCTCCCCAGACCTCCCCTCCCAACCAGTCCCTCCTGCAGTCTTACCCATCCCTGTTCTTCCCAGTTGCTCAGGCCTGAAACCTTGGCATCATCCTTGACTCCTCTCCTTCATGCCACACCAAATCCATCAGCCTTACCTGTCAGCTCTGTCTCCAACACAGATCCAGAGTTTGATTACTTCTCTTCATCCCCAGTGCCACCACCCTGGTCCAAGGCATCAAAATAACCTACCAGGATTATTGCAGTGGCCTCCTTACTGGCTTTTGTGTTTCTGTCCTCATACCTCCTACAGCCTTCTTTCAACCCGGCAGCCAGAGTGTTGTTATCATGTAGAGCAAATCATGTCAGTCCTCTGCTGAGAACTCTCCAATTGCAAAGTGAAAATTCTTACCAGGATCTACAAAGCCCTGTGTGATCTGGCCCCTGCCACCTCACCTCCTTTGACTGTCCCCCATGCAGGCCTCCTTGCTCTTTTTCAACGATGCCAACAACATTCCCGTCTCAGGGCCTTTGCACCTGCTGTTCCCTCTGCCTGAAGTATCCTTCCCCCACATGTCCATATGGCTCACACCCTCACTTCCTTTAGGTCTTCCCTTTCTCAATGCAGCCTGTCATGTGTCCAAGTGTCTGGTTCCTGAGCTACAGAGTAATAATTATTGTAGTTAGTTAACTATTTTAGCACCTGAGATTCCTAATTATACTATATTTTACAATGATATGTTGTGTATTTTCATTTTGTAATGTAAATTAACGGACCCTTTCTCCCCTCCCATCCCATCACTGTGCTATAACTCCTCCTTGATAAAATATTAGAGACTGTGACAATTAAGGTATTCAAATAAGAAAAAGATTCTCAAATACAGGTGGCTGCATCTGCAGAAGGCTTTGGGAGGACAGAGGCAAAGGCCATTTGTTCCTCACTGTGTTAGATATCCAGGGCTGTGGTAACCATGCACCACAAACTGGGTAGCTTAAAACAACAGGAATTCATTCTTTCACAGTTCTGGAGGCCACAAGTCCCAAATCAAGGTGTCAGCAGGGCCATGCTCCCCACAACAGTTCAAGGGGAGAATCCTGCCTTGCCTCTTCCAGCTTCCAGTGACCCCAGATGTTTCTTGACTAGTGGCAGCATAACTCCAATCTCTGCCACCGTGTTCACGTGGCCGTATTTACTCTACGTCTATGTCTTCACATGGCATTCTCCTCTGTGTGTTGCTGTCTCCAAAAGTCCCTCTTCTTATAAGGATACCAGTCATATTGGTGTCCTTATAAGAGGTCACCCTAAAGACCTCATTGTAACTTGACTGTGGCTGCAGAGACTCTATTTCCAAAAAAGGTCACATTCACAGGGACCAGATGTTAGGACTTCAACGTATCATTTTAGGGCACACAATTCAACTCATAACACTCACTATAAACCTTTCAGGACTACTTGACATTTTTATCGTCAACATCCAGTCATGTGCCACATAATGACATTTCTGTCAATGATGGACTACATATATGACGGTGGTCTCGTAAGATTAGTACCATATAGTCTAGGTGTGTAGTAGGGTATACTATCTAGGTTTGTGTCAGTACACTCTATGGTGTTCACATAATGATGAAATTACTTAACAACGCATTTCTCAGAACATATCCCCATCCTTAAGTGATGCATGACTGTATATAATTATAGCATTGTTAACTATAAGTCACCGTGCTGTACATTAGATCTGCAGAACTTATTCATCTTATAACTGGAAGTTTGTACCCTCTGATCAACATCTCCCTGTTTCCTAGTTTACTATATTTTAAGTGTGGGTTTTATTTTACTTTGGGGTTAATTTTTTCTGTAATTTTACATTGAAGTGAAAAACAGGAGAATATAATGAAATCTGCTACACAGATAATTTGGGGGATGCTCTGTTTTAAAAATTTACAACTCAGTATAATGTAATTCCATACAAAGAAATATTTTAAAAAATGACTAATATTGTATTTTAAACAGAAAGCCATGAATAATATTTCATGGTTTAATGACTTTTGTGACTAATTTTAATAGGCAAAAGACTGTCTCCAAACAATAGGTTAACTAAGTAAAGAGCAGAGGCAATTATTCTTGATGGCCCTGGATAAAACTAGATTACCATAAATTGACAGTACAGAAGTTGAAGAAATAAACACAGTTAACTAGACTTAATTTAGAAAAACTAAGAAAATATTAGACAAATACCATAAGGAATAGAAATAAAACCTGTCAGAGAAACAAATGGGGAAAATACAAAGAGAAAAGCAAGTAAGATTGTGTCCTCAGTGCAAACATATTAGAGGCAGACGCAGCACAGACTGGATGCTTATGGGGCAGAGAGAAGAAAAATCCCAAGAGCCAATGAGAAACCGTCTTAAATTAGGAAGAAGTGGAAAGAGTGAATAAAGGTAATTCAGTGAGTGGAAAAGACAGGAGAGACTGGAATGCTGCTCACTCTCCCTTCACAGGGTTATCCAGAATGTCTATGGATGAGAATTCTAAGTGTCTGATTCCAAATAAAAAATTATCCTTTTTACATTGCTAGTACAAAATTTTTAGTTTTTCTCTCTATATCAATATTTCAATATGTGAAGAAATTTGTTCGATACAAATTTCAATATGTAAGAAATTTGATAAATACCCAGATCACAATGATGTCCAAATTCAACTGGTCTTTCCCTTTCCTAACTAACCGAATGGAGAGGTTAAGATCAAGTTTACCGGAGGTCTGTCATCAGACAGGGCTGGGAAGGATAGTGGCAAGGCAGCAAGAACCATTCAAATTCAATTTGACACAGAATACAACAAGAAAACAGTTCTGTAACATTGCAATACTAATGAATATTAATAAGAAATCAATGATGATGCGGGGTCAGTGAGCCGAGGAGTCAAAAGAACGATTTCTTGGACTCTCAAGATGTGGCAGTAGTGCTCTTTTATTTTGAGAATAGTGTGGAATAGCATGGGGACAGGACCCACGGGCAAGAGGAGCTGCTGCTGCCCCGGCTACTGCTGCAAACATGGGTGGAGAGTAAGGCTAAATTCAAGGCATAGGTATGTGAGTTATCTCTTCACAAGACAAAGGAAAGAACATGTAAAAAGGTTAAAACGGTATCAGTGCAGGTGGGGTCTGCCCATTGGGTGGTCCCACAACTTTTAGATAAGAATGAAATCGGATTAAGTAAAGGCCAAAAGCCACCACCCTAAATCAGTTACATGAGGTTGCCAGACAGTAACCAACTTAAGTCCTTGCCTTCCCCCATTAAGAGTTTCCAGAGATAAGGCCATCCTGCCTTCCTCCTGGTGCAGAGGGGGAGGCATGGAGATTTCCTTCGCAAATGAAAATATCTCTCATCAAAGGGCAAGCAAATTCCACTCCTCGGAGCCTGCTTCTCATCTGCAGTTTTAAAATTAACCAGCCGAAAATCCTCATCAAATGACTAGTATGATGTATAATTAATAAACTAATAATGTATAATATTAACCAGTTAACGATGAACTGATTTTTAATTATTTTGAATATTCCTCTAATAAGCAAGTTTCTTAACCTCTCTGAGCCTGAGTTTCCTTATCTCTAAAAGTAAAGGTAATAATGGAACCTATCCTGGAGTTGTAGGAGGATGAAACGGGATAACGCACTATAGCCGGGATAAGAAATCACTCCTTTCGGGTAAACAATTAGTAATTGCTATTATTAACATTTTCTAATACTCATATTCTTTGGCATATACAATGCTCAAAAGAGGGAAAGGAGCAGGGAGCTAGTGTTTATTAATTACTTCTTCTGTACCAGACCCTTTAGTAATATTTAACCCTCCCACGGGGGCCTCAGAGCGCTGGACACACCTCGGACGTGGCCGTTCTGCCAGCCACAGGCCTCGGAGGGTTTCAGGCCGGGGCCTGAGATGGCTCCTGTGCTCTCCAGGCCACGTCAGCCTCGTGGTCATCCCGCCCTGCTCGTTCCTCTCCCCCTCCCTACGGACCTTGGCTCCCGATTGTAGGCAGAGAGACCAGGATCCGGCTAGCGCGTCGCTACCGGAGGCCCACGCAGCCTAACGGCACTCGCCTCCCGCTGCAAGCCCAGCTGCGACGGTGTCGCAAAAGCGTCGCAAAGGCGTCCGTCCTTGGCGGCTCCAGGCCACCTGTGTAAGCGGAGTGTGCTGGACTTTGAAAACTAGCATGCAGGCGGCCGAGGGGTTTCGATATCGTGGGGGCTCCAGGGAGAAGCGGCTCGCCGGCGCCCCGGGCTGCTGAGCTCTCGCCGCCTGCGTTCCCGCGGCGCGGTCACAGGGCCATGCTGGCTTCGCGCGTGGTGCGCGGCTCGTGGGGAGCCCTGCGCGGCGTCACCTGGGAGCCGGGGGCGCGGCCGGGCAAGGGGCGAGCTCGCGGGGCCCTGCTGCCGCCCGTGCCCAGCTGCCTGGCGGGGCGCTGGTGGCTGCGCCCGGCCGCGCTCGGCTTGCGGCTGCCTGGGGTCGGCCCGCGGGGCCACTGCTCGGGCGCGGAGAAGGCGGCCCCCAGGTCCGCGCCCGGAGAGGACGCCGCCGCCGAGGCCCGGGGCGGCCCGGCGAGCGCCGCCAGCCTGGTGGGTAACCGAGGCGGAGGAGGAGGAGGGGCAACCCTGGGCCGGGGTCGTCGGCCCTGCGGGGGCTTGGTCCTGGACGAGAGTAACGCGCTCGGGCCGCTCCGAGTCGGACGCTTCCGTTTGCGAACTTTTAAACCGTTCCCTGGAGAGAAGTTAAGGGCAGGTTATTCGGTCGGGATGAATTTGAGGGGTACTGAGCGGGTCCACCTTCCGTCTCGGCGGTCAAGTTAGAATCCCTCCCACCCGCGCTTCTATTCGCACGCTTTGCTGGACTGGCCTCTTGATATTGCATTGATAAAAATGCCTCACTTGTTTTGTTAAAAGCCTATTTTTAATTTTCTGAAGCGAGTCCCCAGTATTTAGGGCAAGTCTGTGGGTAACTTCAGAAAGGTGTACAGGCCTCTCTGTTTGCTTGTGCAGGTTTGGTTCACTATCGTTTGTCCTTTGGTAACCTTATATGTTGTAGGATGAAGGATAATCAAATAATTTAAATCGTAATTCAAAGATTCTTTAACCTCTAATTATAGAAAAAGATCAAAACTCTCTTCTTGAGGTAACGGAGGGAAGTATTTGTCCACTTACCTGTTGAAATACTGCCCCAGCAGAAGACACCAGAGCACGAGTGTGGGAGAGCTTTTGATGTCATGTTAGCAAGACTCATGCAATTATTACATCTTCAATTGTTATGTCTTCAGCGGGCCCCTGTGCTGCTTTCATCAGTTGTCCAGCATGGGTTGAGGTGGCCACATCCTGGCAGGGGTCTCAGCTCCTAATAGCTAAAGCATGTCGAGGTTTGAATGCTGGATGCTTTGAGGTTGCCGTATCCTGGCTGAAGTCCTTCCCAGAACGGCAGGAGTTGGTCGAGTATGCCACAGGTTATCTGGTTGGATAATCAGAGATTAGCTCTCTTTAATTTTAACTTAGAAACTTTTACAAATTTAATGATTAGAAATTAATGAGGTATTTTATTTTAACTGAAATGTTTAAGTGGAGCTAAAAAGAACCCCCTTTCACTGTTCCAACAACATTCATTCCTGTTTATTCACCAAATGAAATGATCTCACTGTTTGCAAATCCTATGAATATCTCAGATTAATTTTGGGACTCTTTCCTCTGACCTTTTGCTTTGTTATTCTTTTTTCTCAATCATGAGCTGTCTCTTTTTCCCCCGTCTCTGAGTTGCTGTAATGTTGGATCAGTATTTGACTTATTCTGTACCACAGTGTGGTCAACAGACTTATCTTTTTTCTCTGGAGTCTGAAATACTCTGACCTCTGAACTTGAATTTGGAATCTGTTCCAAAAATGTTCCCATTTAATTATATAATGTGGTCTACTTTCAGTGAAAGGTCCTTGAGTAGAGGTTTGTGTTGCGTCCCGTTTGATGATCGTTTCCTGGAGAATTTGAAGTTTTTCTGTAGCTTTCAATGACTGTATTCTGCCACCTGACCCTAATAACCCCATTAACCCTCACAGCTAAGGTGAACTTTTCTTGCCGGGTTCTCTTTATCAATACAGACTTAGTATCTTTAGAGAACTGCCTTTTCTTACAGGATGGCTCAATGAATTTTGAACGATGTCTTTAGAAATGGAAACTGTCACTTTTTTAAAAAATCAAAATTAAGGTTGAGGCAAATTGGTTACTGATTAAGAAAGTAGGGTTGGACTTGTGAGGAGATAGTCTGGTGGGGTAGAATTGGCAGCCTTAACTCTGGAGAAAAATCCAGGCTTTAGGGAAAGACATTTTCTTGGTATTATTTCTGTACCCTGTTGTGCAGGGTTATCTTAGCTCTGCTAGGCTGAGGCTTTTTAAAGTTGAAATAGTCGCTCATGAAACAGATTTTGTTTGGCAAAGAAGGAATATTCTTCAGAGCAGCTGCCAAGGAGTCCTTTTGTTAGTACCAACTTCAGACTGCTTGGCTCCAAATGAAGTTTCAAGGAATTATAAAGCTTCCCACATGGGAGCTGTGAAAGCCCTAAGCTTCTAGTTGGGAATTTTAACATTTCCATGGCTATTTTGAAGAGATTTATGGAATTTGTCCTTATTTCCTAAGGATCGCAATCCCTGTTCCCAGCTCCATTGTCTTCCATCTATTTTCCAATTTAGTGATGAGTTTATGTAATTAATTTTTTTTCCTCTCTTTGTATCTCTTACGCTGTGTATAGCATTTAGCATTCTTTTGATAGGTATGTGTAGAGAAGTGAGGAACATTATTTGCAATAAATGTTTTAAGCGAAAATGCCTAGGGTTGTTAATTTGACTTTTTTCTGGCACTTTCTAGACTGTTTGTCTACTTGAAGTATAAGATGTTCCTGAAGTTCCACTTTTAAAAGCAGTGTTGTAAGTTTTTACTTGTAATGGTGAAGTCATATATTAGAGGCTTCACTTATATGGTAGATAACACATGTTTGTTCCTTCTTTCTTTAGGAAGAAAACCTGCTCTGTGTATAGCAGACACTGTAGTCTGTGTTTGGGTACATGACGTATCTTCATCTTCTATATTCTTGACAGGTTTAGAGCTATATCTGTAAGAAAACACAATGGATTTAAAAACTCAATTTAAAGTACTAAATTTAAAGTTTATGTAGCTTTTGATCCTTAAGTTGATGGAAGCATAGTTTTCTAATATATATAGTTATTTAAAGTATGAATTTACAGTATTTAATTTAAATTTTGTTGTGTTTGTATTTCAGTATGAAAACCCATGGACAATCCCAAATATGTTGTCAATGACGAGAATTGGCTTGGCCCCAGTTTTGGGCTATTTGATTATTGAAGAGGATTTTAATATTGCTCTAGGAGTTTTTGCTTTAGCTGGGCTAACTGATTTGGTAAGTTGTAAATGCACTCCTCCTGTTTTACTCCCCTTCCAAATCCCAGGGTCTCTACTATACTGAAATAGCACGGCCTGAGTCTCCTTTCCCATGGAAGGAAATCCTCAAGATAAATCTGACCTAGTACTTTGTGTAAGGACTTGTCTTTAGCATCTGTGTGGGTTTCTATTATTTTTTATATGATCTAAGGAAGGAAGAGAAGGTTGTAGGGAGGCAGAGAAAAGGGAGCTTTTTACTCTTGGTTTTTAACTTCTTTGTAAAAGAAAAACCCTTAGAAATTCCCCAAGGGCCAAGTATTTGCTTTAGGGATAGAAATAAAGGAGAGAAGCTGTGAGATTATTTTTCTATTTAATGTGGTAGAAATACTCTGATCTACAACAACAGTTGGTTTTACTGGTGGAGAGGGAAACAGTGGGCCGGTGTTGTGACCAGGGAACTTGTAGAGGCTGGAGCTCTGCTCAGGTTTATGCCGGCAAGAGGCCATAGGCACCCCACAGATTTGGTTCGTGGTCCCTGCTCCACACCCCTCTGACCACCCAGCAGAAGACCTTGCCCTGGGCCAGGCATTAGGCATCTTCCTTCTACTCCCCCAGCAGATGGACAAATGAGAAAAGAGCTCCTCGATACCACTCTGTCAGTTTTGGGAGAGGGAAGGATTTGTTTGGGTTATCTCAAATTAGAACTTGGAAAATGAGTTTATAATAGAAGGCTGCATATGTGTTAAATAGGCTTTTTGTTGACTGAGCAGCCATCATCATGTATGACATTATTTGTTTTTATTACCCACCTTATCTCATAAGAGATTTGAAATGGCTTATAAAAATACATGTCCTACAAAAACACAGTTGAGGGAAGTGAGGAAAAGGTAGAGGAAAAAAATTTAAATCAGGGCAAAGTCAGCATGTAGAAATAGATACCATATATTCTTGTACTGGGCTGGTCTGAGATCCATGTGAGTACCCAGACGGGCAATAATGATTTGGTGCCTCGTCAAAATGATTTACGTTTGAAAAGCATTGCTTGATATTTATTTAGTAGGGATAAAGAGAAACTAATTTTCTATTAATAAAAGTTGTATAGCATCTTTCTTTGTAACGTCAGCTATTCCATTTGAGGTTCACAGAAAAAAAATTCCACCTGCCCAGTAGCATTGGTGAGCAATAGAGAATTACTGAAGATTCTTCAGGATAAACAAAGGACGGCATTTGCATTGCTATGTGGCATTTCCAAGTATACATCAAAAATATTCTCTCAAAATGGTTTCCATCTCCTTTTCAAGAGTTTAGCTCCTATTTGTCACCACTTCTCCCCATTCTCACAATCTCTCTCTTTGTCTTTTGTCTCTCCTTTTACCTCTGAAGGCTGAAGGCCTCCACTCATTATTAATATGGTGTCCAACTCTGTCAAAGGCCACTGTACTGATAAAGGAAAGGTTTTTTCTAACGTAACAGACAAGATCTTTCTCAGTGACTGGATTCGCTCTTTTTTGTTTTTTTAGAGTTTTTTTAGCTGCCACATGAGATTGCAGTATTCACTGAATGGGAAAGGGCGTATTTACATTTTTCTAAAACTATGTATTTATAAGACAGTGTGTGTGGACACCTGAGTTATCTGGCACCATTTTTCACGTTTACACCGTGGAGGTTTTGATGCCTCTAGATTGGATGCAGGGCAGACGACTGGACTCATGGGCGGTTTAGGCGGGGGCGTGACAAGGCCTGATTTATGTTGTCTATGGGAGAGAGGTTATAGGAAGGCAAGAATGGAAGCAGAGAGGCTGGTTAGGAGGCTTATAGATAGTTAGGGGAATGGTGATGATAGCTTAGACTGGGGTGGGAATTTGGAGTTGAGAAGTGAATGGGTTTGGGATATGTTTTGAAGATAGGGTTGTTATGTTGGTGGATTGCATGTGTGTGGTGAGAGAAAGAGGGGTTAAATATGTCTGGCAGGCTGTTACTTTTTTTTTTCTTTTCAACAACCAGGCACATGAAGGTAACACCTTCTGTGATGAGCAACACTCAGAGTAGGACAGGGTTTGTGGAAAAATACCAAGAGTTGCTATGCCTGTCCAGAGAGAGGTATCAATTGAATAGTTGAATATGGTAGTTTGGAGTTGGAGGAAGTCATGGTTAGAGATAGATTTGAGAATTGTCAGCTTGTAGATGGTCAAGTCTAGATGAAATCATCAAGGCTGTGGTAGGAGAAGGGGTCAGAGAAATGAGCAATAAGTGGAGCAATCTAGAAGGAGCCAGTGAAGGACACTGAGAAGGAATAGCTGGTGAGAAAGGAAGAAAATTAGGCAATAAGGTGTCCCTGAGGTTAAGTGAAGAAATTGCTTCAATTGTGTTGAGGTCAAGTAAGCTAAAAATAGAATTCATTGGTGACCTTTATGAGCCCCATCTCTAGAGGAGTGGGGACAGTAAGAGTGGGTTGGTAAGCAAACATGAGGCAGTCATAACAATCGACGTTGCTTTGAGTGAGTTTTGCTTTGTAGAGGAATAGGCAAATGGCGTCAAGGAAGGGTAGTTTTAGAAGCTATGTATACTGGCAAGTTTTTGTTGTTAATTAACTGATTAATTAAATGACCAGATAGAATGGGAGAGAGAGATGGGGGAGGAGAGGCAAATCACAGAAGGTGAGAGGGCCTGGGATCAGGGATCAGGGAAGGCGGAGAGGATGTGAATGGACGCAGGTAGGTGGTGCATTTGGAGGTGGGAGCATGAGGGAGTCTGACAATCTGTTTCTGTTTTTCAGCGAAAATATAGACATGATCATGAGCTAGAGTGAGAGGCTTTGGGAGGGATGGAGTAGGTTTGAGGTGAGAGAAGACAATGTGAAAAGAGAAGGTAAAACAGGCAGGCGTGGGATTGCCAGGCAGTATTTTTTTTTTTTTAAAGATTGGCACCTGGGCTAACATCTGTTGCCAATCTTCTTTTCTTTTTTTTTTTTTCTTCTCCCCAAAGCTCCCCAGTACATAGTTGTATATTCTAGTTGTTGGTCCTTCTGGTTGTGCTGTGTGGGACACTGCCTCAGCATGGCCTGATGAGCAGTGCTATGTCCGCGCCCAGGATCCAAACCAGGGAGAACCCAGGCCGTTGAAGCTAAGCATGCAAACGTAACCCTTCAGTCACGGGGCTGGCCCCTGCCAGGCAGAATTGAGTGCCCTTGGGAGATTTGTGGTCATGCATTTGAAGTGAGACCAGGCAGCGCATTTAGGTGTTTTTCTTGAGTGATGTTCAGCTGCTTGGGTGCAGGCCTCGAGTACATGGATAGTTGTCTGTGAGCGGGTTGAGGGAGAGTGAGGTAAGAGCATTATAGGTGTTTGCAAAGGAGTAGTGGTGTTGATGTCCTTGGAATCTAACGTGCGCAGAGGGACAGTGAGGACCAGAAGGTGATGGCAGAGAAAAACTGGGAGGTTAAATTCCCTGCGATCAGATACTGAACTGAAACCTGAATCTTCCAAGGCCCCAGCTCCCAGTTCCAGGCACTTTCTGTTAGACATTGTTACCTCTAGTATACTTAGGAAGAAAATAGATTCTTTCAGTTGCAATAGTAATAGCTAGGAATTGCTTTTTTTGAGGATTTAGTGAGTGCTGAGTGCTGAACAAGTATTAATCACATTATGTGCTGCAGACAAACAACCCTTTGAGGTAGGTCATGTTATCTGTTTTACAGATGAGGAAGCTGGGGGTTAGAGAGGCCGAATATCTTGCCCAAGGTCACACAGTTACTAAGTGGCTGACACAGGACTTCACCTAGTTATGTTCCGCTGCAAAGAGCAAGTTCCCCCACATTGTCCTGTACTGTTGCTGTCTCTCTAACTCACTGGAGTACTTGAGATGTGGAGGACTTATTTTTCCTTTAAAATGTTCCATGTTAAATAGCATCTAAATGAATTTGTCTTTTTCTTTGGAAATAGGACTAGGAAATTCAAACATTTCTTGCAGCTTGAAGTTAAATAAAATGAGTAAAAGCCAGGTAAAGATTTGGAAAACCAGGTAACATCTGCTTTGTGTAATAGGGATAGACAGTACTTGGTTTTGATCCATTTTGTGGCCCCAGGGTGGTCAGATCTTTTCTTTTCTCAAGTGAGGCTAGAGATCTGGAATTTTGTGGTAAGACTTTGAATATTTAAATGTTGGCAACTAATTTATATTTTTAAAAGCTCTGGGATGGTCACACAAATCAGTGGCAGGCCTCATTTGGCGCGCTGGCAACCAGCCATGACCTCTGCTTTAAAATACAGTTGGTTTCCAAGAATAGTGAAGAAGTAATTTGCATAACAAAAATTTTAAGTTGGCCAAGTACAGAAGGTGGAATGTTTTCTTCAAATAACATGTCATGCAAATACAGTCAGACGTGGAACTAACAGTGGCACTAAACAAAACTGAACAAAAAAGAAAAATAATAACAGTTAAAATTTAGAAAGTTGGATCATATTGTAGAAAAGTAGGTAGGAGTGAAGTTAGAAGAGTTTCGCAGTTAAAGGCTGGTCCTTGCAAGTAAAGGCAGCTGTTTCAGCCATAGTGAAATAGCCCAGGGCTCAAAAGACGGGGCTCCTGGTCCATGCTCTGTCAGTCATGCTTTCCATGAGTTTTATTTGGGTTCTTTACATCTCTAAATTTGTGTCTGGGTTCATCCTCCAAAGGGCATTGTGAAAACAATGAGAAATACCAGAAGGCCTTGAGAAAGAAAAGTACCGTAGAAAAGTTATTTTCAGACCAGTTGGTAATTGAAAGCTAAACGTATACCAGTGAAAGAAAGAGAAGGTTTGGGGGTAAGAAACAGAAGAGGTTTTATTACCATTTTATGAAAGTATAGTTGTTGTTTAGTATCTCTTAACCTTCAAGATATCTACTCTGTACCTATTATGACTTTATTAAAAAAAACTTCTATTTTCAGTTGGATGGATTTATTGCTCGAAACTGGGCCAGTCAAAAATCAGCTTTGGGAAGTGCTCTTGATCCACTTGCTGATAAAATACTTATCAGTGTCTTATATGTTAGCTTGACCTATGCAGATCTTATTCCAGGTAAGAACGCCGTCATGCGTGCTTTTAAGTAGCATAGGGAAGAATGACATTAGTCAGCTTAGGATTTCTCTTGTTTGAGACACAAATAATTTTTGTTCCAAAAATATATTTTTCAACTTTAAACTGTTTCCCTAATTTTAAACTATTGAACTATTTTGCTTATCAAGCTATTTGTTTTACTTTAGAGTTTGTGTCCTTGTTATACTAGTAGAAGCTGTTGTTTTTTTAGTAAGATTATTTAAAGTTAAAATTAAACAAATATTATTTCACAGTGCCACTTCATTTTAGTCTAGACTCTTTTGAAACTGTATTATATATTCTTAGTTCCTTTAAAGCAATTTAAAGTTTTCCTAAGTGCGTTATTTTTTTAAGTACAATTTAATCATAACAAATGAGAGCTTTGAAATCCTGAAGATGTCTATAAAATTTCACATTGTTAGATGCTATTATGCAATTTCAAATCATACATGTAGTCTCTATATTATCTGAATACTCTTTCTGACAAAATTTTATGATCTCTTGCTTTGTATTTTGCATATACTTTTCTGCTTGTTCATTTTCTACTTAGCTGTATTTCTCACTTTTTCTCCCTCAGTTTAGGTTAAACTTTTTGTTTCCTAGAGTTAGAAATAGAGTCTGGGAAGAAAGAAGCTGTCACTGGTCTTTCAGTAGCATGTTATTGACATTTGATGGGAAGAAGTGTAGTGGTGTTTCAGTCTGGTATAGTGTCCTCAATCTGGAGATTCTTTTTCTCCTCTACCTTTAGGCTTTTAAATTCCCGTACCAAATTAAAAAATGAATTGGATTAATGTTTATATTTATGTGTTTGAAAGTCAGAATTGTGATATGTATTTATGGTTGAGTTGTTGAGGGGCAAGGGTATTCTCATTCTAATTAATGTAATTTGTAGGAAAAAAGAACCTACAGAGCATTCTGTTGACATTATTTAAAAATCAAATGATTGTGTGTGTGTGTGAGTGTGCATAGTTTCATGCCTCCAATTTTTCAGGGTTACTTTGTATGATGTTGGATTTTATAAGTGTTGACCAGGTATTTCCCCATTGAACATAGAAATTGTTTCCAGGTTTTGGTGTTAGGGATTATGTTGCTGTGAACTTTACCTAAATAATTGGTATAGGTTGCTTTCTGAGCCCATACTTACTTTCATTATCATTCTGGGAATTTCCATTTTCCCTCTCACGTGTTGGGTCTGTTTTCCAGGCTGCCACAGCTTCCTTGTGAAGGTCTTCCTTTTGGTGGAGAGCAGGCTCCAGTTGTTTCCTGTGTAAGGACACAGCATAACAGCCAAAATTTTAGAGGTTTACAATGTCTTTATTTTGCAGACATCTAAAATGTCTTTCTTCTGCCCTCCATACTTAACTGACGTTTGAACTGGGCGTAATTTTCAGTTGCAGGTTATTTCCACTCAGAATTTTGAACACTGTTCTCCAGACTTCCAGCTTCTGTCTTGCTGTTGAGAAGTCTCATGCCATTCTCATACCTTTGCCTTTATATGTGATTATGTTTTGTATTGAAAAGCTTTTAAGATTTTTTTTAGGTTATTCCTAGTTGATGTTTTAAAAAAATTCTCTCTCTTAAAAATTAATTTTCTAAAAGCTTCTATGGATACCCAATTATCCCAGTACTTTTTATTGGAAGATCTGAACTTTCCAGACTCACTGCAGTGTCCATGTATACATGTGTCTATTTCTGAGTTATCTGATTTTTCCCCATTGATGTGTCTATCTTTGCACCAGGACTGTTCTTTTTTTTTTTTTTTTTTTTTTTTGAGGAAGATCAGCCCTGAGCTAACATCTGCTGCCAATCTTCCTCTTTTTGCTGAAGAAGACTGGCACTGAGCTAACATCCGTGCTCATCTTCCTCTACTTTATACGTAGGATGCCTACCACAGCATGGCTTGCCAAGCGGTGCCATGTCTGCACCTGGGATCCAAACCAGCAAACCCCAACCCACTGAAGTGGAATGTTCGAACTTAACCGCTGTGCCACTGGGCGGCCCCAGGACCATTCTTAATTATTATAGCTTTGCTAAAAGTCTTGGTATCTGGTAGAGCAAGTCCTTCCACTTTGATATTCTTACACTTTTCCATTTATGTGTAAATTTTAGAATCAGCTTTTCAAGTTACCCAGAAAACCTGTTAGGATTTTAATTGGGATTGCATTCAGTTTATAGATTTATTTGAAAGAATTGATATCTTTACAATATTGAGTCTTCCACTTGACAAATATGATATATCTACTCTATTTAGGTCTTTCTAAAATGTCAGAATGTTAGTTTTTTCCAGAGGTAATAAATGACTTTTTATCAGATTTATTACCAGGTACTTGGTAGTTCTTGGTGCTTTTATAAATGGTAACTTTTTTGCATCATTTTGTAGTAAGTGTTGATAGGAGGAAAGTCAATTCTATTTCTAATGTTGATTTTTGTGTCTAGCAAACTTGGTAAAGTCTTATTCTAATAATATAAATGTAAATTCTCTGGCATTTTCTACGTCCTCAATTATGTATTATCTGTAATTAATGGCAGCGTATTTCTTCTTTTCGAGTCCTTTTACCTTTTCTTTTGCTTGTCTTACTTTGTCACAGTACAGTATTGAATAGAAGTGGTGCCTGTTGTTTTATTCCCGATCTCAAATGGAAAGCTTTCTTTCAACATTTCACATTAATTACGATATTTCCTGTACTGTTATGTAGATACCCTTTTTTCACTTTATGGAAGTTCACTTCTTTTAGGAGTTTGCTAACAGTTTTTATTACAATTGGATATTGAATTTTATCAGATTCTTTTTCTTCATATGTTATGATAGTCATATTTTTTCCCTTTAAGCTATTAATGTGTGCATTACATTATTGATTTTCTAATGTTAAACAAACCTGAAATTCCTGATATAAATTGAGCTTGTTCATGATATGAAGGTATTGCTGGATTTGGTTTGCTAATGTTTTGTTGAAGATTTCATATCTACATTCACAAGATTGGCCTGGAATTTTTTTCTCTAAATATCCTTGTTAGGTTTTAGTACCAAGTTTATGCTAATCTCATAAAAGGAGTTAGGGAGTCTACTCCCCCCGCCCCCATTTTTGGGAGACGTTTTTTTTTCCCTTGAATTGTCTTGCCAGAGGCTTGTCAGTTTTATGAATCTTTTCAAAGAGCAACTTTGGCCTTTGTCAAACTTCTCCAACTTTCTTTGGGTTTTCTTTGTTCTTTTTCTAAATTCTTTAGATCAGTTTTGTCTAGTAGAAATATAATGGGAGTCATAGATGAAATTTAAAATTTTCTAATAGCTATATTAAAGAAACAGGTAAGAATAACTTTAATAACATTTTATTTAACCCATTAGATCGAAAATGTTATCATTTCAATATGTAATCAATAAAAAATTATTGAGATTTTTTTCATACTGTGCTTTCAAAAGCCAGTGTGTAGTTTGCACTTAGTCAGCACCTCTCAATTCAGACCAGCCATATTTCAAGTGCTTTTTCTTCTCATGGCGCTAGTGGCTGTTGTATTGAACAGCACAACTATAGATGGATCCTATTTAACTCATTTCTTTTCAGTTTTTTGAAAGTTGTGTTTAAGGCTATACATTTTCCTTGAAGTATCCCTTTCACTGCATCTCATATGTTGATATTAGTATTTTTGTCATTATTGAGTTCAAAATATCCTAGTTCCATTATGATTTTTTTCTTTGACCTAGGAGGATAACAAAAACGTATTTCTTAATTTGTGGGGATTTCTAGGTATCGTTTTGTTACTGCTTTCAAGTGTTACTACTTTGTATTCAAAGAACATCCTCTGATTTTTAGCCCTTCAGCCCAGTATACAGTCAAATTTTATTAACATTTTATGCATGCTTCAAATGATTGTGTGTTCTGTAGTCATTGGGTGTGATATTCCCTACGTATCCATTTGGTCAGTTTTTAATCCTGATGTTTAAATCTATTTCTTTACTGACTTCTTTTTCCATTTGGTCTGCTTGTTCTATGTTATGGAGAGAGCGTGTTAACATTTCCCTCTCTGTCTAGGATTCCGTTACTGTTCTTTGTAGTTCTGATTTGTGCTTATGTCTTTTGAAGTCATGCTATGAAGTGTATATAAATCAGAATTATGTCTTTTTGGTGAATTGAATGTTTTATTATGAAGTGATCTCTATATCTCTAGTAATAATTTTTAAAGTCTCTTTTGTTGACTGTTACACTAGCTACACTAGCATACTTTTGGTGAGTGTTCACATGACAGAGAAATCTTTTACTTTCAACTTGTCCAAATCTTTATCTCTTGTAAATAACATATAGATGGATAGATTTTCTTTATTTTATGTAGGCTAAAAATATTTTATATTTCAATTGAAACATTTAATCCATTAGCATTTACTGTGATTACTAATATTTGTGTAGCAGTCTTCCATTTTATTTTATATGTTTTATTTGGCCCATATGTTCTATCCTACTTTTGTGTGTGTTTTTTATCATTATATTTGTTTTTCCTGTACCAGTTTGAAAGTTTTGTCCTCTGTTTCCATTTAGTTATTCTCAAAATTATAACATTCATCTTTATCTTATCAAAGTTTAATGTTAACAACTCTGTACTCATTCTGGGCACTGGAAGGCCCTTAGAATACTTTAACTCCATTAATACCTTTCTCAATTTAGGTTATTGTGATACTTTAATTTTGTGTATTTCTTAAACCTGCATGATATTATTGTTTAGAAAGTCAGTGTTCATTTAAATTTATCTTCATATTTACTTTTTTCTGGTTTATATTGTTTGATATATTTCAGACCTTCCATCTGGAATCATTTTCATTTTATCTAAAGTATATCTTCAGAAATTCTTTTAATCAGGTATACTGTGGCACATTCTTGTCTTTGTTTTTCTGAATATATTTTTATTTTGCCTTTTTTTTAAGTGAAAACATTTAAGTTCCACTCTTAGCAAATTTCAATTATGCAATACAGTGTTAGCAACTATATAGTCAC